GAGAACTCGCAACTAGAGCCGCACCGCTCGATGTTCCCTCGAGAATCACCAAGAAAGCCGGAGATGGAGAGCCCACGAACACGGTAGACACGATCACAACAAGCACTGATCAAGTGAGCGATGAAGGCGCGGATGAAAACGAGGAAGACCCTCTTGAATCTGGAAGTGTGTGTGAGGAAATGATTACTCCTGCATCTAGTAGCCTGCAGACTTTGCTGAGAGTGGATCGATCGTCCCTTATAGAGCAGCAAAGAGCAGACCCCACTCTTCAAAATATAAGAAGTCAGAGTAGTGAGGGTATTTCAAAGGAAAACTTGATGTATCAGAACAGGGCCGGGATACTTTATCGTAAGTATCTAGATCGCAGACGGGTGCAGTTTGATCAGTTAGTGGTACCGGAACGTTACTGCCGTGATCTTTTACACTTAGCTCACGGTAGCTCATGGTCGGGTCACTTGGGGGTCAAAAAAAACGAAGGATCGTCTGCTGCAGGAATACTATTGGCCGGGTTGTTTCCGGGAAATAGAGAATTTTGTCAGAACCTGCGACACCTGTCAGCGTGTAGGAAAACCAGGAGATAAGGTTCGTGCCCCAATGAAGCTCGTGCCAGTGATCACTGAGCCCATTCGACGACTCGTGATCGACACAGTAGGGCCTCTTCCAACAACAACATCCGGTTACCGTCATGTCTTAACAGTAATTTGTCCCGCGACCAAGTTTCCTGAGGCAGTGCCTTCAAAGAAACTGAGCTCGGTAGAAGTGGTAAACGCGCTGTTGTCTATTTTCGCACGCGTTGGTTTTCCCGCTGAAATACAGTCCGATCAAGAGACCGTTTTTACGAGTGCGCTGACTACAACTTTCTTAGAGAAATGTGGAATCCGATTAATCCACAGCTCGGTGTATCACCCCCAGTCAAACCCAGTAGAAAAGTTACACTCGGTAATGAAACGCGTCCTTCGAGCACTCTGTTTCGAGCGCAAAGTCGACTGGGATGTGTGCTTGCCAGCAACCATGTTTGCGCTCAGGACTGCACCTCATGAGGCCACTGGATTTACCCCGGCAGAATTGGTCTACGGTTGCTCTCTGCGATCCCCACTCCGTATTCTTCGTGAGTCATGGGTAGGTCGAGCGGAGGACCCTACGGTGGTTGAATATGTGCTAACTCTGCTAGAAAGGTTGCATAGAGCACAGGAGCTGGCAGGGGATGAGATGAGCAAGGCACAGGTTCGGGCCAAACGCTACTACGACAGGTCGGCAAGATCACGCCGGTTTGAAGCTGGAGATCAAGTAATGCGGCTGAAACCTTCACCATTGAATAAGCTAGATGTCCAATGGGAAGGTCCGGCGGAATTCGTTCAAAGGCTGTCCGACACAAACTATCTGGTAAGGATGCCAGGTAGACGTAAGACGCAGTAGATCTACCACAGCAATCTGCTCAAACCGTATCGAGAGAGAGAGGTTGTCGTAAACATGGCGGTAAACGTGCCCGAAGAGCCACCACTAGATTTCCCCTTTTCGGGAGCGGAAAGAAAAAAGGATAACGCTGGTCAAACGCTCAAGGCCATGGCTGAGGTAGCTGAGCTCACAGCTAACGAGAAGCGTGACCTAGAAAGCCTCCTGATAGAATATGAAGACATGTTCTCGGAGAAACCGGGCCGAACAAATTTGGTAGTGCATGACATAGAGCTTACGGCCACTCAGCCCGTGCGGTCAAAGGCGTATCGAGTGTCGCCGCGTCAGCGTGCCATTATTGAGACCGAGATTAAAAGAATGCTCGACCTCGATGTGATTGAAGCTTGTGAAAGCGATTATACCTCTCCGCTTATATTAGTGGAGGTTCCTGGGAAAGATCCGCGACCATGCGTTGATTACCGGAGGTTGAATCACATAACGAAGGATCAGACCTACCCCATACCAAATATAGAGGAAAGAATTGAGGCAGTAAGCAGTGCTAAGTACATCTCTACCTTCGACCTCGTTCGAGGTTATTGGCAGGTGCCTTTGACCGAAAGGGCCAGCAGATATGCGGCGTTTATTTCTCCCATAGGAACATACCGCCCTAAGGTGTTGAGCTTCGGCTTAAAGAATGCCCCCTACTGTTTCTCGGCTCTCATGGACAAGGTATTGCGGCGTTTAGAGGGGTTTGCCCTGCCTTATCTGGATGATGTAGCAGTATTTTCAGGGTCATGGTCCGAACATCTCACCCACTTGCGAGCAGTGCTTCAACGTTTCCGCGAAGCAGGTGTGACCGTGAAGGCTCGGAAGTGCCAACTTGGCCGAGCAGAGGTTACTTACCTGGGTCACATAGTGGGGCAAGGCCACCGCAGACCTTCCGATGTCAAAGTGGCGGCAGTTAATAATTTTCCGCAGCCCCGGACAAAAACAGATGTGCGGTCGTTCCTAGGATTGGCAGGGTACTACCAGCATTACATGCCCCGTTATTCAGAGCTTGCCAGCCCGCTTACTGACGCTCTTAGAAAAACCGAACCTCAAATTCTGGAGTGGGATGAGAAGAAAGCGAGGGCATTCTTAGCGCTGAAAAGTGCGCTCATGAGCCAACCTGTACTTCAAGCGCCCGACTACGCTAGACCCTTCGTGGTTCAGTGCGATGCAAGTGACCGCGGCATGGGCGTAGTATTGTGTCAGAGAAACGACGCAGGAGAGGAACATCCCGTGCTATATGCAAGCCGCAAGCTAACTGTAAGGGAGGAAGCCTATAGCGCTTCAGAGAAAGAATGCGCCTGTGTTGTATGGGCGGTTCAGAAGCTCGCATGCTATCTCGCGGGATCAGAGTTTATTATCGAGACGGACCACTGTCCCCTCACGTGGTTCCAAACGATGTCGCCTAAGAACGGCCGGCTACTTCGCTGGAGCTTGCTATTGCAACAATACTCTTTCGAAATTCGTTACAAGAGAGGCAAATTGAATGGCAACGCTGACGGCTTAAGTCGTTGTTACTAGGGATCTTGATGGCGTCAGGTAATCTGGCTTGGGTATTTAGGTTCCATTTTTTTTTGTGTGTGACAGGTTTACAATTGCTTTTTCTGTATTTGTGCTTTATCACGACACGTGTTTGTGAATTCGAGCAGCCTATTTCAGGTTGGGTTGTTAGAATTGCTGCTGCTATTGTAATGAAGAACAGGTCGTTTTGGATGAATTAAAAGCCTGGTGGGTCTCAGGAAGAGAGTATGGGCACTTGCCTGCTTGGCAGTTGTGTTTCTCGCGTGGTGGACACATGTGCTGTCTTTCGAGAAGGAATGTGGGCCAGCAGAGCGGGAGCCTTTCTCCAATTTTGGACGACGCTACCAGAGGCTGCAGATCACCAGGGTGCCAGAGGATTGCAGCAGAGCCGCATCGAGGTGTCCACGGCTTCAGCACACCATCATTGTCTTCATCGACCTCTCCCCACGAAGGTGGATGACCTTCGTACGTCGAGGTCTCGGCCGGCCGCCGGGGAAGCTGTTACAAAGCAGTAACGAAGTCCTTGGGCCGGATGCCCCAAGCGTGCCTTCCCGTCATCTCGGACATTCTGTGTGGGGGCGGGTTGTCACCTGCACCGGCTCTGTTTGTCTCGGCTGTGCGCTTTGCCTGCGGGGCAGTGGCTACGGGCGGGCCCCTCTGGAATGTGCGGAAGGCCGGTTGTGTGCTACAGGAGGGACTGCCGTGAATTTCTCCTGCGTGGTCGCTTCCGAGTCCCCGCGCGTGTGTCACGTGCATCTGCCACGTGTGTGAAGGGACACTTGTGTTGTGCTCTCCATGAGTAATTGGTTCCCCGAAGAGACATTCCGCCTATATCTACGGAACTGCACGGCGAGGCAGAGGAGAAGCCCGCCAGAAGGAAACAGGAGAGTGTCGCGAAAAGAGTCATCGTTCGGACGTTACTGTCCAACATGTTGCAAATAAACGTCTTGTTAAGTTTTCCTTTACGCCTGTCCCTCTGCCTCAGCTCTCGAGAGTTCTGAACGTCCCCGTGGCCTGCGGAATGACGACCACCACCCAGCTCCACGCTACCTACTGGGTCCGCTGCGGCCACCGACGCGGCTCGTAACACAGGCCATCAGATGCGGCTTGAGACAGAGGTAATTGTGGGTGTAAAACGAATTAAATTTTAGTTTTGATGAGTGAACGAACAAGATTCCTCGTCCTCATCTTCTTCATAAAAAAGGATTCCGGACACCTACTCAAAATGATTCTTAAAAAAAACTGGGTCGCCCTCTTCGGCTCTTTTCGGAACGCCGCTCGTGCTGGAAGTCCGTGCTCCGCCTTCGCTGTCGCTATTGCGCATTGTCACCGAGAACCGCCTGATAAACACAATTACAAAAAAAACTAAACATTTCGGCTCAGGGCCCATGTTCACAATGGGTCCTGTTCACGGCCATGTTCACAGCCATGCTCACAACTATGCTCACAGCTATTCTCACAGCCATGCTCACAGGAACCATATTCACTTTGTCGACATGGCTGCTGCGAAGAATACGGGAGCCATATTCACATTCATGGGAATCATGGTGAGTTAACAAAAGTTCATGGGAGCCATGTTTACAGTGTGAACATGGCTTCTACGAACATTGCTTCCGCGACCTATACGAGAGGCACATTGCGAACAAGGCATCCGTAGTAGCCGAAACGTTACTACATTTGTTTTTATGATTATTGTTGGTCGGTGTCTCCGAACTCCTTTTAATGTGCTCCATCCCGGCCAGACGGGCTTCCGTCATACTGTCGACCTCGCCTGCTTGTGTTATCTATTTTTAATTACGGTTGTGGTGTTCGCCATAGCACACCTGATAACCATCTGTCGTTAATGGTCATGTGCCCACTAGTGCTTACATGTTAACGCTCAAAGCAATCTCTTCCCATTCGCGATGTAACCACCAGCCTGTAAGCTCGGGCAATAAACGCTTTTGCTTTCTCCGCTGGAACCCTGGCCTGTCTGTCCCTGGACGTACGAGACACTACAATAGTCACGCGCGATAGATGTGCTCAGAAAGCGCACTGACCGTCGTCCCTGGGGCTGGTGCCGGGCTCTCCGAGCTGCGGCGCCGCGATGACCAGGGCCTCGTCGCTGGACGCCGCCGAGGAGGCGACGGCCGTGCCGAGCCTCTGGTGGTGCAGGGGCGTGAGGCGCGCCGACCGGCGCTGCTTGTGGTGGCGAGGCCGCTGCTCGCCCGCCGAGTCCTGGCCGCTGCAGTCCTCCGAGCTGGAGGCCGCGAAGTGGCCCAGGTTCAGGCCCTGAGTGTCGCGCCGGTCGACCACCTTCTCGTAGCCGTACCAGCCCAGAAGCTCGTTCATCGTCGTCTCCGCGTAGTCCTGCACCATCAGGGCGCGTCAGTCTCGATTATCGTCACCAGCATAATCTCTCATCGTCATCATCGTATCACAACCTTTGAACGAGACGTCAATTCGCCTCCTTCACGTTTGCATGCGTCCTTCCCTTAAGTGAAAAGTCACAAAAAATCTCTCGATATCGGAGGATGTTGTTCTGGCCAGACCTGTTGTCCGGACCCTTCCAAAACAATAGAGGGCAGTACAGAAAAAAAATGTAAAAGGCGGATTTAGATCACGATCGTCATATATTTAATGAAATTTAATTATCGTCGTAATAATTGCCATAATTTTACCCGTTGCTATGAAGGGAGGTAAAAAAACTGTGGTTTCGCCTTGTTTTTTTTATAAGTTGCGAATATACGGGAAAGTAGGCTATCTTAATGCGCAGTTAGAACGTTCAAACTGCCAACATCCTCGCAAGGCAGATTTTCAGGGGAAGACACAACACAAATAAGAACTCAGAATATATATGCTGGACAAGTCAAATTAGAGATTCTTGCAGGGATGTCAAGGCACATGAATATATTTAGGGAGATTACTGCGGACTCCGACTATATTCGGTGACAATCTATTCCTATTTTCGCTCGAGTTGCAATAATAACTAGCTTTTCTTAAGTTAATTGCATAGACGGCCAGGACTTCACCGTGTTGATAGTGTGTGAGCGAATGCGGCATATAGTATATTCTAAATGGCAGGCTTCAGACAAGGCATATAATTCTGGTTTCGCTTCACGCCTCATAATACAAAAAAAGCAAGGTCAGGTGGTCACCTATCGGAAAACCTCATCGGTCCGGCACTTATCCTCCCCTTCCCACAGTTCTCTTATGAACAAATTCTCTCCTTTTTAGCGCAAACATTGTGTCCTTGTCGAGGCGTGCGGTGTGCGCACGAAAATTTAGCTCTAATTATAAATGTATTAGCAACCATTTTTTGCTAGAATTATATGAGCATTAATAATCGATTTCGAGAGTATTGTAGACCCATGTGGTTTTCGTACCGCACAGCCCGCTGCTTAACAGACTTCTTGCAGTAGATGCATTCGCACCAATGAATTGTCCAATGATTTTACCGTCAGTAATGACACCTTCTGCTTCCCCGCCGGTCGGGGGATCGCATCCCGGCTGCGGCAGCTGCATTTTCGATGGAGGCGAAACTGCTGTAGGCCCGTGTGCTCAGATTTGCGTCCACGTTAAAGAACGCCACGTGGTCGAATTTTTCGGAGCCCTCCACTACGGCGTCTCTCATAATCATTTGGCGGGTTTGGAAAGTTATACCCCGCATATCAATCAATCAATCAATCAATCAATCAATCAATCAATCAATCAACATCTTCTGCACCAGTTTTACACTAAGTAAAGAAAGAAGATGCCTTGTGCCTAAGAATAAATGAACCCCGTCATTTACACAGTTGTCAAGAGGTTGTTCTCGACCGCTTAGCGTCTCTTTTCGGGTATCGTAGCCTCCGCGATTAGTTCCGGTACGCGCAGCCGGAGCCAGTTGCGGAGGCCACTGTTACAATGAGGAAATACACGCGCGAGACTCGCGGACTTGCACATTTTGCTGACCGAACTTCTTGCATAGCTTCCACAGCGTTGTTCCTGATGTATGAAACGCAGTATGGGAAGGAGTGCTAGTGAAAGCTATTCAAGCATATCCGTTTGAAAAAAGATAGATAGATAGATAGATAGATAGATAGATAGATAGATAGATAGATAGATAGATAGATAGATAGATAGATAGATAGATAGATAGATAGATAGATAGATAGATAGATAGATAGATAGATAGATAGATAGATAGACAGACAGACAGACAGACAGACAGACAGACAGACAGACAGACAGCAGACAGACAGACAGACAGACAGACAGACAGACAGACAGACAGACAGATAGATAGATAGATAGATAGATAGATAGATAGATAGATAGATAGATAGATAGATAGATAGATAGATAGATAGATAGATAGATAGACAGACAGACAGACAGACAGACAGACAGACAGACAGACAGACAGACAGACAGACAGACAGACAGACAGACAGATAGATAGATAGATAGATAGATAGATAGATAGATAGATAGATAGATAGATAGATAGATAGATAGATAGATAGATAGTAGATAGATAGATAGATAGATAGATAGATAGATAAATGAAATTAGATAGAAATTCTACAAGAACAATTGTAATTTTCAATGCAAGCGGACAGTCGAACGCTTGTATAGCATTCGTTTTATTCACTAAATAATGAGCTCGATGACGTATTTTTGCTGTAGGAGCATATTTAGGTAGCAGCTTTCTGCGTTGCAATGGATAATGCTGCACAAAAGACTGCTCCGCTAACGAGCACATAAACCTATGTAGCCAACGGTGGTGCCAGTCAGTGGTTTTCTCAAACCAAGGATACCAACACCGTTAAGTAGCGTCACAGAGAAATGAGTTTGTGTGAGACAAGCGGTACACAAACCCACGGATCAAGAGTCCTCAAGTGTATACACTCACGCGTTTTGCAGCGAAAATCCATTCTCCAAGCCTAAGCTAGCAATGACGATCTATGGTGCTAGCAGTTCTGCTGAGAATCAGTCTCCTAGAAACGCGCGTAAAGACTGTAAGGGTTGCGATTTTGAAACAAGCTGGCGCGCACGTCTTGCATACATCTGTCTACTCCCTCCGAGCTTCGACGTGGACTCTGCTCACATACGCAGTCGTTAAACGTCGGTCACTGACCTTCTCAGTCTTTCCCGCAGCGGTCATTGTAACGCGCCGCACACATCAGCTACAGGTATACGCCCCTCGTACGCCACGCACGCTGTATAACTTTCTGCGCCGTCATTCGAGACACTTCCCAACAGCTGCTTCGGGCCGGCTATGCCAAGAAGCCGAAATCCCTCGATCGCCCGTGACATCTGGCCTGCATGTCCACGAAGTCCAAGCGAACAAGAACAAACAGACAGAGGTCATAGCCAGCTTGAAGCCAGCTATCGCGCCACCTCTAAAACACCGCGTGTCACGCCGACTGCCAGAAATTACCGAGTCGAAGACAAGCTGACACGGGGACGAGGCGACGTTGTTTTTCCGCATGGTCCGCACGTACACGGTGCGAAGGAGAGATGGGCATTGAAGAACTATTCTTCTGAGCTTGTACTGGGGCATGTATCTCTATGTCACCTTTATTCGGCTACAACCTGCCGCTCATTCTGCCTGCGTGCTCGATTTTGAAACGCACGCGGGTGCTCAGAACGCATCCTTTTTCGTAATACGAGAAGGAAAAGGGCGCGCGGAAGACCGATCCAGCTCTTTTACTTCGCCTCGGACCACAATTAGCGTTGATGGGGGTCTCTCTCTCTCTCTCTCTCTCTCTCTCTCTCTCTCTCCGCTTTTCCCTGTTGTGGCGCGATTACCGTTTTGTGGGCACACGCACGGCGCATAGGTGAGATGAATATGCAAACTATAAACAAAGAACAAGGAGGCAAAAAAAAAAAAAAGACAAGAAACGAAACGACCGAACGAGTGACACAGAGTATATATGTATAGTCTAGTGAAAACGAAAATGCCCAAGAGAGAATGAGAGAGATGATAAAACCGGAGAAAGACAAGAGAGGTCAACTAGAACTGTAGCGTCCGGTTCGCTACCCAACACAAACGGAAAAGAAGAAGAAAGATGAAAAAAAAAATGAGAGAGGAGATCAAGTGAGTAGTAAGCAATCGTACAAAGGGGAGGAGGGTATCAAGCCCAAAAAAAGAAACAAGTTTTAGGGGTGGCTGCTGCAGGAACAGATAAAAAGTCGTCGCGGAGTGTAGAGTTGCCGCCCGCCAGCTCGCGACGGCGGGGCGCGACGGCTCTTCTCGGCGTCGTCGGTGCCTCCTCCCACAACCGGCGCGGTGGGCCAGCTAGGCTGCAGGCTCGACTCGGCTGGGCGAACAGAAATCCCTTAATTCTAGAGCAGCGGCAGCCGTCGTTCGTCAGGGCGTCGAGCTTTCGGGAGGAGGGGACGGACGGACGCGCCCGGTCCGACACTCTATAATTTGTCCCGCGCGTACACAACGCTCGCCGATCCCGCTCCCGACGGCCGTGCTGCCGTACGGTCGCCGTCAAGCGGGGCCCGGCCACGCCAGTTGAGGACGCCGACAACGAACGCCCTCCAAAGCTCGCTTTTGCCGATCGGCCAGCTCCACGCTATGGCGGACCATGTTTTTTGCTGTTGTTTTTTTTTTTCTTTGAAGTTCCTTGACTTTTTTTTTTTTTACGAGGACTGTCGTTGGTTGCACCTCCACCGAGGTTGACTTGCAGTACAGCTCGCCCACTGCAGCTCTCGCGATGGATAAAATGCTGGAGTTACTGTACATGATACCTTTGCTGAGCAGAGTAGCGCTTGCGCCTAGTTCTGGCAGGCATCCAGGGCGACGCGGTCAAGTCAAACTCCGTTTTTGCAGGTGACGTGAGTACCAGATCTCCGATAGACATGCATGCCGTGTCGAAGAGCGGCGGTAAACTTGTCTGTCTATGGCTAATGTACTCCAAGTTTGCTGCCACTGCGTCATCAAGGGGGAAAAAGAATGGCCCATGAGGCAGCTTCTCCGCAAAGCATGGTCGCAGCTTTTGAAAGACAAGAGAAACTATATAACTCTGTAGGAGACGCCAAGTCGGAGCGACACACCGCGGTAGACGATGGCAACGGTGCGTCTCTGAGAGGCGCGCGGAATCGCTGCCACCGAGTGTCGGCGCGAAACACGGAGACTGCAAGCGCAACGGCGCGAGAGCGGAACTGAGTGTGGTTTTCCTAAATGCAGCGGAAGTGCGCTCATATCGGTGCTGCCCAGAGTGAGTGTCGGGGTGACCGGTTTCCAAGCGTGCAAGAACGTTAGTTACGACCAGCAGTCGGTATACTAAACGGAGCTGAGCGCGTGATTACCATGGCAACGCCACTTCTAACGAGACTAAAAAAAAGTAAGAAGACCAATCGTTTTGCCGTCA